CCGCTCAGGTAGGGAGCGGGGACGGGGACAGGGGAGAGGGGGCCTGAACGGGACAGGTGGCACGGGGAGAGGCTGCTTTGGCCATGCCCATGCCAGTTTCACATGCAGAAAAAACACCTCCCAGGATGACATCCCTGTTAGGCACTAGGAATTCTGCAGTTGGAAGTGAGGGTGTGTGGGCGTCAGGGTGGCTTAAGGAAAGTCAGAGTGCATCACCAGTGTGCTCACGTGTGCTTTTATAGATTTTGGTGACTTTCATTATAGTCACTGTAATTGACGAGGGTTGCAAAGGGATTTCCCCATTACCTTCTTTGATGCAAAGCAGCTTCTGGTAAAGTGACAACATGACTTCCTGAGTCAACCAGTGTGAGTTAATGGTTGCATTCTCGCGAGTGGAGGTTTGTGGAACCTGACCTTCTACGTGTTCAGAGACACAAGCACAGTCAAATACAACAGCTTTAATCAAAGACCTGGCCAACAGTTGTTAAATGTAATAGCACTTGTTACCGCGTGACTAAGTGTTATTACTTACCGTATGTACGTATCAAATTAGACTAAGAGTAGAATCCTCTCCTTTGACCAATTTCATAATGTACATTGTTCTCTGTGACAACTGTTGTTCATAACTTTTAAGAATTCCACATCATAACTCAGCTCTCTGATACCTGATAGGTGTCCCTTGAGATGAGAGAATTTAGGCACAATCAAACCCTGTAACAGGTGGAGAAAAGCATCGCACAGAAGATACTGCTGGGAAACTCCATAGAGTTGCCTTTTCATTTCATCCTTTGGAATAAACTCAGAAATCATCTCTAGCCTGCCTAGTCCTAGACAAGAGAAATGAATGTGATGGGAGCTCCCACAGACAGCTATGTTGCTTTCCAGATCCTTGAACCAATCTGGAGCTCCAACACCTGCAGCAGCTGTACAGAAAACAGTGGCCCTGTAACTGTGCTTTGTGGAGCTGGTTGCCAGCCTAGAGGATGGCACAATGCTAGTGCAGCCTGCAGTAGATAAATCAAAGAAATCCCATTACAATTGACCAAATTGATGGGTCAAAGTTGCAGAGAGTGTCTGCAATTATTCAGTCACTCTAAGAGTTTGTTCTGTGGTGGCCTTGGCTGCCACCAGTGCTTTCTTACTTGACCCTTTTCTTTGGCAGATGGTTTTAGCAAACCTGCACTAACTTTCTTTTGGCTCAATTCCAGCTCAGTAAGTAGAAGGAAGTTGTAGCAGTACATTCTAAACATGAATGCACCTATTCTGCAGTAGTTCAGTATAGACAGTGGAGTTTAGCTAGGTTTAGAGAGAGCAAGCAAAACTATTCTGAAAGTTGCTGAATGCTTCTCATTTTTTGAAACCATTCCCTGAAGGCAAACTTTGTAAAATAAGAAGGGGAGCAAAAATACACAAAGTACAGCATGTTTCTTGAAATGTTTCAATGCTTTTTGCTGGAGACACAGTATCTACTGCTCTCTTTTTCAAAGTGCACGTCTGTAGATAGATTTCATCAAGACAGGGAAGCATTTATGGAAAATTGACATAATTGTCAATTGCCCAACTGCCCCAAGCAGGAGGTAGTGAGACTTTTGAACATGCGTAACTCTCCGCACCCTCTGCTTCACCTTCTTGTGTCCTAACCATGGGCACTTCTCTCCCTGGCAGAAGCAGCTTTGCTGTCTTTGTTTACTTGTCTTATAGAAGCGCCCTTCCCCTGCCCTCAGGGCAGCCCTGGGTCTGTGTTACATAGGCTGTACCTTCGTATTTGACCTGTCACGTCCGTGTCAGTTACAGATACACAAACACTGGAAGTGCCAGTCTATGTGTGAGGTCTGTTTCCTGCTTTCAGGGAGATGGATATGCTCCAGCTACTGAAAAACCTGTCATGCAGCTCATTTGTTTGTAAATGAGTGAGCTGATGAGCTGCTGCTTCACGCGGCCACTCCTGGGCAGAGCTCCCCTGTGGGCACCACACGCCCAGAGGGAACCACCCCTATGGACAGAGAGCCTCTGAAGGTAGCAGGTGCCTTCTGCTGCACGTCCTCTTGCCTTGCAGTGGTCCATAAAAAGGAAATGTGTTATGGTTTGGATCTCTACAGCGCCCTGAATTCCCGCTGTGACTTCTGCTTGGTGTGGCCACTGTTAATTTAGAGTGGTTTAAAAGTAGGCAGGACCTTTAGGAGGCTTTTGTAGCTGAGGGGAATACGAATGTGGACACTGCAGTGTGTTTATGTTTAGATATACCTGCTTCTGTGAGCTGTACTCTGCAAATCAGCACTAAATCCCTGGAGAGCAGGGAAGTGGGTGCTGAGGGCCAATTACCCCTTGGGGCCAAGGGTCCTGACACAGCCCTTTGTGTTAGCGGGAGGCCTTGGGATGCCCGCAGGGGCTTTCCACTGGGAGAGTAACCCCTGGTGTTAACAGCATCTGTGTGTTTGCTGCTTGCCTTGCTCCAGGCCCGCTGCCACCGCCTCCCCCCATCAGCAGGAACGGGAGCACCTCACGGGCCCTGCCCAGCGCCCCGCAGCTGCCGTCCCGGGCAGGCCTGGACAGCCCGAGGGCCGGGCCGCGGCCTCCGCTGCCCCCCGACCGGCCCGGCTCCGCAGCGCCGCCGCCGCCACCGCCGCCCTCGGCCGGCCCGGCACGGCTCCCTCGGCTCGCACCGGCGCGGCTCCGCCACCGCCGCCCTCGGCCGGCCCGGCACGGCTCCCTCGGCTCGCACCGGCGCGGCTCCGCCACCGCCGCCCTCGGCCGGCCCGGCACGGCTCCCTCGGCTCGCACCGGCGCGGCTCCGCCACCGCCGCCCTCGGCAGCTGTCAGAAACGGCTTCCAGGACCCCGGTGATGGTGAGCCACCTCCCAGCTCTTTGCCCTCCGCAGAGAAGGTGTAGGGGCTTTTGGCCCTAATACCTCAAAGGAGGTTTGGGATAGAGGCTTAGTTTCTAGTGTCAGCCTTTGATTTCTGACCAACAGAAGTGTCACTTGGGTCTCAGTTGACCCTGGCAAGTAAGAACATAATAAATATGCTATACATAGAGCAGAATTGCAAAGTCATCAATACAGTCTCCAAAATAACCCTTTGAAAAGTTTTTTCAAACCCTTTTCCCTGAAAAAAGGAAGGGAATTGTTTCAGCTCTAATATGCATTCAAACCACAGCTACACTGACACTTCGGAAGTTGGAACAAGTTTGATGACTCAAAAGCTGAAAAACAGATGAGGGAAGAGATTGTCAGAACATTGCTGAAAATGTCAAGTATCTATTTCTGCTAGTGTTTATTAAAAAGATGAGGTCCAAGATTGCTGTGTTTTAAAGATTCGTCATGCTTTTCTTTTTAATTGTTTTCTACTTGCATAGAACAGATAAATCCTTCAGTTAATTATGTAAGGCCAAAATTGGTATTCCTGACATTTATAAGGTTAGAAAAAAGCAAACAGAAAATGAACTATAGCTCATGCTTTTAAAACATCTTCACACATCAGGTAAGGCAGAAGGATCACAGGCGTATTTCTTCCTGCACAAGAAATTTGCAGGGTTCAGAACATGCAGCTGCTTTACACACTTTTTTCTGATTGCAGCCATTGGAAGTAAACACAGAAAAACTGGATCCAGCAAATAATCACATGTACAAATGCCAGGTAGAACTAACTGAGCTGTTCATTACATTATGCAGTAAAATACAGCAATATCTCAATAAAGTTATGGTTGCAAAGTCCTGAAGGAAGCAAGTGAAGAAATAACAAAGTTTAAGTTAGCCCGCACTTTCTTCTTTAGGCTTTCAAAATCTGGTGCAAAACAGGGCTCTTGGAACATTTCCTATTATTTCAATGAAGAAACTGGTATGCTTGCTTTATTTAGAATTCTATAGACTCAGTAAGTACAGCAAAAGGGCCCCTGTAGTCTAAAGAGATATAGCTTCAAGTAATACATTTATACATTTTTCCATTTTTGACACTAGTTATATACAGGATTCTGTCATAAATTTTAGCATAATGGGTATTTTTCTTCTTCCAATATAAATATTAAGAGAGAAGAAACAGTGCTTATGGGAGTATGCTTTTGAGCTTGATATATCAATGACACTTGAATAGTGGCCAATTCTATACCAGGAGCAAAATACTGTTTTGAAGTAGGTGAAACAAGGCAGTTCTGGTAGCACATATCTGTGTGTGTTAAAAAAGCAGATCTGTTATACATGGAAGGGAGAGTAAGACTTATTTTAGTGGAATTGTGGCTGTTTTCCTGATCTGTAATTTTGCATTAAACTGACAAAATGATCGATTTGATAGAAATTTTCATTCCCAAATTAACCTAAAGCATCATCTTCCCTGACTTCCTAAGAGAGTGCTGGTTCAGTATGCAGCTGTGTAAGCATTTTGCAATTTAAAACATGCATTAAACATGATGTCAGTGTCAATTGACTTTCCTAAGCTATATCAGAAAATTAATGAGTAAATTGCATGGGATTTTTTTCAGATGAATGGGAAAGCAGATTTTCTTTTCATCCGATATCTGATTTGCCACCTCCAGAGCCATATGTACCCATGAACAGAAGTTATCCCAGTAAACTAGCAAGAAATGACAGTAGAGGTAAGTTGGAATTTCAGTGTATTGTCTTAAAATCAAGTGCATGGGGAAGAATCTGGATGCTGAGGTTTCCAGAGTTCTCAGGCTAACAGTCTGGTTGTCCTTCCTCACCACACTGGAAAAGCTAAATGCAAGTTCATAGGTACAAGCCCTCTAAAACTTTTTGAGTGGGGAATTGTTTGTTTTTTAAGTTGAATCATGTACTGTAAGTGACCAACTCTGCCATTATAGTCAGCCCTTCTGCTCTAGGCAGCCAGAACCACAAAATCCCTCAGAACTTTCTTTTCATTTCTCATCTAAATTAATGCATTTTTGTGCCATTTATTTTTGTGCCAGCATCATCCTTGAGTTTAGTTTTCCTCTCTTCTTGTGTGTTAAACTCTTCATGTTTTTTAAGACAACAGTCATATCCTCCTCTCAGTTTTTGTTTTGCTGGGCTGAATAAATCTGAATGTACTACACTCTGCTTCCAAGCCATGTTCTCTGATTAGCAGAGCTGCTTAGGTATACACTTCTGTTTGTTTTTGTCTTTTCCAATCTGTGTTACATGCTGTTCCAGCTCAGGTTTCAAACATGCCTTCTACAGCAGCATGAATGTTTCCTATCACTTTTTTGGGGTATTTTGCCTGATAGACCCAAGGATCAATTGCTTCTTTTACAACCAGTGGCATTGGTGGCTCACAGTTACCATGTAATCATCTGTATATGCAGATGCTTCTCTCCTGTTTCCAGATGATGAAGTTTTGGTTTGAGGCAGAGATTCCTGTTAGTCTCTGACTGTTCACTTTGCCCTGTTAGCTTTCATCCCATTTGTATTAGTCCACAAAGGAAGGCAAAGTAACATGTCCATTTTTTTGTGTTTTCATTTGTGAGTTTGATGTGAAGATTTTCATATAGGGAAAAACATTAAGAGCTTTGAAATTTTATTGTGTTTAGAGCTTGCCAGTTTGTTGAGATTTGCACGTATGGCAAGTAGCACTGAGAAGTTGTGTGTTCACATAAATTAGTAAGGCTAACAGGAACCAGCAGTCCGTTTTAGGAAGGGGAAAACGGACCAAAATACATACACTTTCCAGGCATTAGGGATAGCATTAGTTAAAAACATTATTTTACAGTGTTCGAAGTTCTGATGTTGTTTAATAAACAAACCAGCAACTCTACAAAGATTTGCTGGTTTTGTTTTTTTTTAATGGCCAGGCATGAAAATTTGTAGCTCTTCAACAGTTACTGAATTATTTGCTTGGATGTAAACTCCCCTTCAAAAGGAGTATTCCAGGAGGAGTAACACCAAAACCCCTTCTTTCTCTTTTAGGTGGTTCTGTCCGAAAAGAAAGAGGTGCCCCCCCGCTCCCGCCTATCCCAAGGTGAAATGAGTTCTGGCCCATCTTTGGGTGACATCTGCTCTCAAGTTTCCTTCAAGTCAACTCTCCTGTCCATGTGACTGGAAAGTTGTCTGTCCTGATTGATTTCCACTTTTGGCTTGTCAGCTGGAACAAACTTCAGTCTATTACAGAAGTAATAGATGTGGCTTATGGACTATAGTTGCTCAAAGCTCTGACTTTTATTCGCTTAAACTGCAGGCATTTTGTGGACCCTACAGAATGTAGGTGCATCATGCTTACCATGTCCAACCCCGTCCCCTGGAGAGCTCCATGGGAAGTCTGGCTTTGAATTTGATAGAGCTTGAACAAAGCTGTTTCATTCACTTTGGGTACAGTAGCTGTATTATTTTAATGATAAAGTATTTGATGCTTAAAAAAACAGTTGCTGGGTAAAAAGTGTAGCCAAGAGTCCCCTGGATCCTTCTTTGCATGCCTAACTCAGCCTATCTGCTTCTGCAAGCCATAGATCTACTACATGGTGACAAAGAGTTCATCTTTAACTTTTTTACTTCAGCTTAGTCAAGCAAATCTTAAACAATGCACAACACCTCCTGCCTCAAGGATTGAGTGTCCCTGGCCTTGTTTTTATCTTCAGAGAATCTTCCAAAGAAAAGCACAAGTGAAGAATTCACCAGCATAAAAAAAAATACTTTTTTAACCCTCTTTCCTATTTTTTAATAGTGTTATGTGTTCTGTGACCTAATTCTATCCTACTCTTATGTGGACCAACCCATGTCATGTCATCCATGCCTTGGATTGCTGTAATGCCCTCTGCCTGATAGTGCATATGAGGAGTCCTCAGAAGGTAGTCTGAGTGCAAACACAGCAATTATTGTAGCTACAGGCTCCTCCTGTAAAGCATCACTAGTGCCAGTGCTCCGCAGACTGCTTCCCAGTTGTTTCTTTGGTACAACTAAAAGATGGGGTTTGACTTACAAAGCTTCTTGGCACTTAGGTCACGAGTCTCAGAGAGCTTGTGTTTGATTTCCATTATGGTAGAGCGGCCAAGGTCAAAAATGTTCCTCAGTGAAAGCCCCTTGATGTTGTGAGAGCGGTCCGGGGTTTGTACATTCAAGTGGGAGCATCCAAAATTTGCTGTCTGCATTGGTTCAAGAGAAATGGAAAGATTTGGCTATGAAGCTTGTCCTTTCAAACTTTGCTGAAAGGAATCTCTACAGAGCTGCAAGGCTTATGATAGAAGAAAGAGTAAAGTATTCTAACATTGTGGCAAGTGGTTAATATGTTTAATGGCTTTTGAATTTTGTGTATGAGAAAAGAGCTGATTGTATGAGTGAATTTTACAAGTGGATCTAAATGTGTATAAAATGCTTTTGGAAATTAGAGGAAGATGATAATTCTGAAATATTGGATGATGATAATTGAAATATTGGTCAATGATAGCTCTTTATTAATTGGACCTCTGAAAAATATCCTCTCAGTCTCATCAGCAGTATGTTTCTTCAGTGTTTTCCTTGGGATCCCTACCAAGCCTGTGTCAGCAGCTGTGCTTCACAGGGTGTTGCTCAAAAAAACCCAAAATAAAACATAGAAACTAGTCATGTAGGTTAAGAAAATGTTTCCCTAGCATGGGAGATATCCTAAGTACACTCTGTGGCTAGAATGAGGTCAGTCCTTGAAAATCTAGGGAATTTTGCCAAAGAGAGTCTGGACCCTGCTGAAAGGTCTGTGAATAGGGCTTTTTGCTCCGACTGTGAGCAGGGAGGGGCAGATCTGCTTTCTGCCTGGCAATCACATTGAAGGAGATGAGACTAGAGTTGGATTTAGCCAGATCAAATTTAATTTGATCTTTTCAGTGTTTGTTTACAAAATCTTGTTAGCTGTGACAGCATTTGTACAGCATGTTTTTTACATTTTTGTATTTAGTGACCTATTTGTAGTTCCTGTTCATGCTCGTGAACCTGCAATGAAATGCGCAGGCGCAGGGATGTAGCTGCATCCAATTGCAGGATCGTGGCTCTAAGAGTTCCTTAAACAGATACTGGGGGGACCTCCGTGTGACAGGTGCACCTTGGGATCAAACCTGGCACAATGCTGAATTTGTATATGTATTTTATAGAGGTCACTTAAAGTGCCTGTCTCTTTGGGATATTATTTTGTGAATAGAAGTCCAAATAAGATTTTTAGGCTAATAACTTAAAGGATAAATTATTGTATTCATATTATAAAGCAGAAGCACTTAATGCTTTTCTAGGGAACAATAGTTTGAATTTAAGAATACAATATTTTCAGTACCTTGACTTGCCAAATCTTTGTTAATATCCAAATAGCTATGTAGCCAAAAAAAACCACCAGCCCTCCAGAAATGATATTTTTTTATAACTTACCTGCTTCCAACATCACTGTTTTACTTTGGTAAGTCAATGAAAATGCTGCCCAATGTTCTTCCAATACTCTGTATAATTCAAAATATCCTGTATTTGATCGTTTCAGCAAGGTTTTTTGACCAGAAATCTGGACCACTACCAAAGACTTGGAAAACCAGCTTCAGTTTCACTTTAAAATGTGCTATGTAAAAGGCCCCAGGTTAACAAGCCAAGAATCCTGAGCTGCTTAGGTTTTAGAAATTATTTTTTACTCTAGAAAACTCTTCAGAATAGATGTTTGGTGTACATGTAAAATAGCTTAATACTGCAGAAAGGAACATTTTTTTTCACATAACAACAGCATTTCCACTTATATGTTTTGCTGTAAAAGTCCCTAGATATATTCCAGAATAACGCAGCATTTTATCATTCAATATATTGCTTCATGTAGCAGTAGCTATTTACAATATGATCAGTATTAAATTGTTTATGTCACTATGAAGTGTTAAAAAGGAATAATACAAAACAGGTTGAATCAATGGTGCCTTATGAATTTTTTAGTCAATTTTTCTGTGTCTCAGTAGAAGAATTAATAGACATTGCTCTTCCAGGTCCTAAGTACACAGTGCCGACGGTAGCATTTTACAGTGTTTGAGCCAAACCCTGCTGTGGTTGTGTGCTCAATCTGCCAACTCCAGGTGGAGCTCAGTGCGTGGAGAGGCCACTGGATCAGTGTGCAGGTGAGGTGTATGTGGGCACTGGGTGGCTTCACAATCAGTTGTTGGTATTGCTCTCAAAATTCAGACCTGTCCCAAAACCAGTGTCTGATGCTGCTGTCCACACAGCCCAGCTGACTTCAGTCAGTGTGGTTGCAGAGGTTACAGAAGTAAATTGGATTCACTGCTTGCCTCTAAGATTTGCTGGGTTTGTTTCAATGGCATTGTATTATAAACCCTCACACCTCAACCTGTCTTCTTACCTTACCACTGAGGCTTGCACTGTGTGACAACAGCCACGGATGTTTGTTTTTGTTTCATTCAGCTCCATAAATAAAATGAGAATAACTTTTGTACCATGTAAAAATAATTTCTGCTCTATATTTTTGGAAGAAAAGCATGTGTTATGTTTGTTATGACTTTCTGCACCAGCCACTGGGAGAAGAGGTCACAATGATGAATGTTCAGAGTTGTTAAAGGAAACTCAGCTTGTGATTCAGGAAGTGTCTATTTCTAAAAATGAAATAAATAACATGGCAAAGTTCTTGTTTAAAATCCAGCATTTCCCAACACTAAAAGAATCATAAGGTTTGTTTTTTCTTTTCTGCAAGACAGCACTGTGAAAGAAGTTCCTTATATTGTCAGTTTTAAAACTGGGCAGTAGTTTCTCCTTGCAGCATCAGCTATTTGCATGACACTTGTAGATCTGTCTTGGAGCAGGGGATAAAGGAGCTAAACTGCTATCATGCATCACATGTCTTGTAACACAGCAATCTTCTGTACAGAAGTATGGGAATAGGAACGGTACTTTTTTGCCTTGGAGATAAAGAATGGACTTGAGTGATCAAACTCAACTTATTTTAAGCAGAATGTCAAATGTTGAGGGACCTAGAGAGGGCCCCTTGGCCACAGGACACTGGAAAAGAGAAGATTGCTCAAGGAAATAAAAGCAACTGAATGTTGTTACCAGAACTAGAGTAAAAAATAAGGTATCAGATGTGCACTTGGGAGTTCCACGTGGCAGTGGTGTGAACACCTTTGTCTCACAGCTGGGTGCAAGGACCTGACACAGCGGTACATTGACTCCACGGGACACAGATTGTGTGAGCCTTCATCTTTCAAACGGTATTCAGCAGAAAATAAGGACAATCTCTCACCTGAGATATCCAGGAGCACTTCAAGGGCAAATTCATGGAATGGTTCTTCATGTACACTGGAAGAAAACAGGGATCTTGTAGCCTGTAAGATGGATGTGTTTGGACCATTCAGTTAAAATCTAACTGGAGCATTGGCAATGAGGGGAGTATTGGAATAACTCGGGCAGAAGCAGGGCATGTGTGAATGGTCTCAGTGAGTATGCAGCAGGTAGGTATGCAGATGTAAAAAGCAAAAATGGAAACAGCATGTCTTAAGGGAGTAACCTTTTATGTATATTGCCATTTTGAAATACAGTTTGTCTGTGGTAAATATTCCTGAGTGTAAACTAATGCATGCAGAGGAAGACATCTAAATTTGGACTTCCAAAGCCACACAAGAAGCCAATATAAAACATAAAACAGGCTGAGCAAAAAGTAACATTTCTATCAGATGCTTAAAGTTTGAGCTTTTTATAAAATATTAATCTGGTTCTGTGAATTTTTTTGCTTAACATTTATTTTGTAAGTGATTTTGTTATTTTTCTGTCCTATACCAAATAAATTTTACTTTTATTTAATTCTTGGTGCAGACTGTTACATTGAGGACAAACACAGTTACTTCTTTGACAAAAGCACTTGTTGGCTTTAGCAGGAGCATAGCAGTGAGCCTGGCAGGAGCTGGGGTGAGCTGTTCCCCTCCTCCTGTCTGCCATGGGACAGCAGCACAGCAGTAATTCTCAGAGCACTTTGGTCCTACATACAGTGAAGGACACCTGCAGATAAGGAGAAATAATGAGTTTACTTTAGGATAAAGAATGATTGAAAACCAGTGGTTTGTGATGCTGTACTTGTACGTGGCTGTTGGGTGAGCTGTGGCCATTGGCTCTTGGCAGGGCAAGCTAGGCACTTGCCAGGGGAAGATGACATGGGAAATCACTGTAGGTAAGTGTAGATTTTTATTTATTGTGTCTCCACTCACAAGGCAGAAAGCTGCCAGAGAATAGGAAACAAACCCTCCTTTTGACTTTGGAGCCCTGTTCTTTATCATATACATTAAGCTATTCAGATAATTTGAACTAGGTTCATCAAAGAAAGACCCTTTTATCAAAGTCCACAGGAGGTTAAAATTCAAGCTGCACTTCCAGCTTCTTCTCAGAAGTTAGAAAGGTCATTCGGAAAGCTAAAAAACTCTGTACTATAATTCATCTGTCTTGCAAAGAGTTAAACATCAGGTTTACTCTCGTGCAAGTTGCGGATCCTTTGACATCTCTGGGGACTGCTTGTTGATACCTTCATTTTACAGACTGACTGAGACAAAGCGCACTTTCTTATGCCACCAACCCTTGTGTAGCCTGCAGACCCAGCAATCCTGATGCCTGGGCTATGGAAACAGAGAAACCATGGTGGAGAGTGGGGGGAAGCTGGTGAGCTGTAAAGGAGCTGGCTCAGCAGGCTGTGAGACCTTTGCAGATGTCAGTGGCAGTAGCCTTGATTGAGAACACAGAGGTATGAATCTGGCCATCAGCTAGTAGGCATGTTTTACCAAAGAAATCGTTTTTTTTTTTCTAGTTTTCAAGAAATCAAACCACTTGCTTGGCTTCAGAAAGAGGGAACTGAGCTGAGCACTCTGTGACCTTGTCATAACCACAACATAGTCCTTCCTTCATTTAACTCAAAAAATGCTGTTGATTTAAAAGAAACCCATGGGCTACCCTGTAAAACAGTTCTGACTGCTCCCTGCAGTTGCAGGAAGGCTCCTGTGTTGCACACAGCACATACATAAATATGCAACTCCTTTGATCGTGGTTCAGCAGTTTCCAGTGACCTTCCTGCCTCCTGTGCACAGGCTGCTCCCCTCTGCCCTCTCACCCAGTCTGACTCATTTTACACTGAACATAGTAACTTAGTCCCAGCAAATTACTGATGTCAGAACTAAATATTGGCCCATACTTCTCTGTAAAACACTTAATATAGTATTTAGGTTAACTAATGAAATAGATCGATTGGCAATCGAGCTCTTAACCTATCTAAAGATTTCAACAGCAGTCCAGGTACAGAAAAAATCCTGAGGAAAGGATGACTGGCACAAAAATATTTTGATTAAACATAGAGAATAAATAGGGTGGTTGCTGATAACATTACCTTGTGTCCAATATCTATCTGTCTACTGAAGAACATCAGATAATCTCTTCTTTAATCCTAAAACATATTTGTGGCTTATGATGTATGACTTCAGCAAAAGCTACATTCAAAATGTAAAATAGCAATCTATCATGAAAGCTGTCTATATGATGCTGCAATAAGGCTCTTATCATTCCCATCATGTTTCTTCTTTGTTATTACCACCCTTCTTTTTCCTGCAGATAAAAAAGCTTTTTTTTTTTCAAGAATGCTGAGATTTAGGCTACATAGATAATTTCTCATTTTCAAAATGGGATTCTTCTTGTTATTTATTTTCTTTTTCTTTTTTTTTTTTTGCTGGAATACAGGAGATGCCTCTGCCTAAACACCTTTAATTTAAAGGTGGAAAGAGAGGGCTGTTGGTTGTTGTCCATCCTTTCTCTCTGCTAAACAGGAACAGGTGATCTCTCCCTGTAGTTAGGGCAGGGCTCTGTTACTGTGCTATGCCCTTCTCAAAGGGGACCACTTTGGCTACCTTTTGCATGTGCCCTAAGTGCAAAAAGAGTTTGGCTCCAACCTGGTGTGAACACTGTACACAATAAGGCCTGTAACCAGTTCCTTTCTGAAAATGTTTCTGTATTGATGCAAAGATGGCTGTTTAAGCAGTGGGTGTTGGGTGTAACCCAACTTGAAGGAAGCATTCATGTATACAGGGATGTGAAAATGAGTCATTCCTGTCCTTCTCCTTTCTAGCAGAAATTTTAGTAAATTCAGAGTTACTGGTGAGCCCTCGTGTGCCCTGTGGAGCAGCAGAGCCCCTGCATCTGAAGGCTGAGCACTACCAAGCCATGAGAGCCAAAGGCAGCTGAAACAATCAGAGCACTTTGAAGAGAGCAAGGTAAAGGCTGTGGGTGAAAGTCCAGGCTGAAACCCCAGTCTGTCGTTGGTATTTTGATACTGGAACTCGTGTACCTGTAGATAACATCATTGTGCTATTTGTCAGGGACTGCAGAGCCCATCAGTACTTTCTGTGCTGTCTCAAAACCAGCCCTCACTGCAAACTGCTGAAATCCTTCTGTTGAAGTTTTTTCCCCCTCCTTACTTAAAACAGAAACTTTCACTTCTGCTATTTGGCCAGGATCTTGGGTGCCTTATGAAACCTGAGAGCCTTTGTTTGAAATCAGACAGATACATGATCCTTTCCTCTAAATAGATACTTTCATCTCCTGAGCTGTGCCTGCAGGACTGCTGCTGTGCTTTCATCCAAGTGCCAGTCAACTGGGGGGCTGGTGTGTTTGCTCCAGTTTATTGCTGATTTAGAAACAATACCCTGCTGGGTGCTTTAAGAGAATCACCGTATGTGCCAGAACCTTCATTCCTCCCTCTCTCTTACATATGGCCACTTGTGAGCAGGGGCAGGAATTGAAAATACGTTTTTTAACTGGATACGTGTCTAGTCCACGTCCAAGCGTGCATCAGAAAATGAGACGCCGTGTGTGTGTGTGTTTTCAGCCAGGCAGGCGGGCACAGGGGGATGCAGCCGCAGCCCGGCTGTTCTCCCTGTGCCGCGGTCGCGGTGTCTCGGTGGCC